GAATACGGTTAATAATCAGAATAATGATAATAGTAAACAGTATACAGGCCTCTGCTGTTGCTGCGTAGTCAGCCTCCGTCTCCTCGATGAGCGCTGGGAACTCGCCAAGCGGGACGCAAACGTCCGTGGAAAGCCTTGGGTGCAAAGGCCCTGTGCCATGTGTCCTGCAAATACCACAACTGTAGCCATCACGACTACCATAACCGTTACTATTGCTGCTAATTTTACTACAACCATTGGCTACCTGACCAGCAAACATGGATTGCCAGAGCCATTGTTGCTGCTGCTGCTGGGTAAGGGCGTCTCACGGCAAAAAAGGGACGGATGCATTTGCCTCTCCGGTACCTCTACAAGCTTGAAAAGGGAGCTTGTGAACCTGAAATCCATCGAGCTGTGTAGCTTGTTCCTTCAAGATGTCGGACTGCTCCCTCCCACTCCACCTCCTCTAGTCCCCCTTAAGTAGATAGAACATGGGGTATAGAGGGTTCTTATTATAATATACCCAAAGCCATATTCTATCTACCTAAGGGTGACTATAAGCCCACACCATCTAAGTGAGCCCTGCGTTGCAATCCCTATAAGCACCCAAAACCTATTTCTTGTCCATTTGAGCTATAGTCTAAACGCCAAGTATCCCCCTTCATAACGCCTATAGCAGTCCCCTATATAATCCCCGATGTAAGCCCCCTTTAGGAGTTTAGACCCTAAACCCTAAGTCCTAAACCCTATATATATATAATCCCCTACATAATCTTTTTTTAAGGAGTGTAGACTCTAGCTCATTTCACTCTGCATGATACGATCAAATTTCCGAGTGCCGGCCGAAGTGGCCAGGAAAAAGCACACGCTCCCTTTAAAGTGTCATAGGGACTAGTATATCATTGTATATTATACAATATATTGGTATATTATGGGAAATTATGTCTCTAGTATACTATGCTTTATCTTACTATTTTAAAAGGGTTATAGGGGATTGCACAGGGATCATATTGGGATTATTTAAGGGATGTATAAGGATCAATTATATAGGGATTAGATTGGAAAAATAAAGGGGATATATTCATTGGGAGTATATAGGGATTATGTTGGGGATATATAAGGATTTTGGAAAAGAAAATGGAAACTGCTATTTAGGGTTTAGGGTGGCACCCGCGTGCAAGCACTCAAGCCCCCCAACCCCGACGCCGAAATCCTGCACCCAGGTGCTCACAACCGGCTTTGCAAGTATTTATATCCAACACCCCCACAAATAGGACCGACTCCTACGAATGAACCCTGTCATGCAACAACTACCAACAAAACGCTGTATTGCTCCTGGAACTCTTGCAATACTTTTTTGGGCTGCTTTCTGCGCATACGGATCACACTTACCTGGAGTCACAACGACCTCTGAGCCAGCAAGAGGCATGCGGACGTCCGTCGCGCCGCGCTGTACCATGTGCTGACGGTTCGACTGGCAGGAAAAGTAGGCGCCGCGCCTCCCGCGTACAAGGGCTTCAGGGGTAATGTACGGACCTATGTCATATTTGAGGCTTGTTTGAGGTACCCTATACCATACAAATATAAGGAGTCTGAGACCATCAATCCCTACATATCCCCAATATAATCCCAATATAACCCTTATATATCCCGAACATAACCCCAATATAATATTCAGGCCCCTATAGTGGCCTGTGGGTTGAAGATGAAGATATACCAAGTCAGGCTCAGGCTTTTGGAGTCTTTGTGGCTGCAAGATAACCTACTAATGCTTAAGGTTTAGGGTTCGGGGTTTAGGGTTCAGAGTGGGAGAGTGAATATACGTACCGTTATAGGGATATACATGGGGATTATGTAGGGATTATTCCAGGGATCCACTACCCCACTCTCCCTTAGGCACCAGGAAGTCAAAACCCTAAACCCTAAA